TTAACTTTGGAGCACAATATTTGCTGTTACCTTAAAGAGATTCAGTTTATAAATTTATGGGAAATGAAGGCCATATCGTATAGCCCTGGTGGTATGGACATGCCAGTGTGCATGTATAGTACAACACACATGCTAACTTAGCTTGTAGTTAAATACCTGCATTAGCATGATTAAATTGGATTTTTAATTAACAGTTCACTGACCAGTCATACACTAAACGATGATTATAAAAACGAAATATCCTTTATTGCTCTAAGAGTCGAGCATCAGTGGTGCTATACAGTGCAAAGTCACATGAAGTGAATTGCTGTAATGACCAAAACATGAAGAAACAAGTCATACCACTTAGCTCCACTTAGCTGGAATGAACGTATGCGCTAAATGCACTTGCGTCATGTGCTCTGGATCATTTATATGGGATCTTTCATCTTTTTCATGGGCTCTCATTGTTATCAACACTTAGTGGGGGTCACCGAGGTACAGCTACAGTCAGTTGTGACAGCATCATGTTCACCAAACACACACAAACACAACCTGGAGTCACAACCCTTATTTTCTTTTTGTGGCACCCTGAGTGACAACTTAATCAAACCCCCACCCTGTTGTACACATGTGGGGGACAAACGCACGCGTGCGCACACACACACACACACACACACACACACACACACACACACACACACACACACACGCACAAATAAACCTGCGCAAGCATGCTCCCCTCCCCAGGTTGCCTTTTGTTCCCTGCATCTGTTTCCCTCTGTGATTAATTGCAATTAGCGAGAGGTTTGAAGGCCCGTGGAAGAACACAGAGAGAGGAAAAGCGTGGAGATTAATGAGGGGAGGCATCCACGGGAGAGGCAGGAGATAGAGCGAGAACCGCGAGGAAAGAGAAGAGCGGTTGCGCAGATGACATGGTAATAAGGGCTGAGAGAGGAGGAGGAAGAGGAGGAGGAGAAGAAGCGAGGTGTGCTCGGATGCTAATGACATAAGAGATGGGAAGAGCGCAGGAGCGTGACATGGAGCTAAAGTGGGAGAGGAGAGAGTTGGTTGTCAAAGCACAGGGCACAGAGCGACGCCACAGGGGACTGATTAAATATGGAAATTATAATTGCTAATTGACCTTTATTAATCAGAGCAGGGGAATGGGGTGTGTTTTGTGGCTCCTCGTGGCTGTGCACGACACTGCGAGTGTACTTGACTGTGTGTTGTCTAAGTGCCGCGTCCGATCCCATTGTGCATCTTTCTCTGATCTCAAAGCGCTCTCACGTTTAAATACAGCATAATGGGTGAGAAAGCTAGAACCCACAAAATGTGAGAATGTGGATGTGTTACTGATAGTCCTGCCCCAAAACACTGAGAAACAACACACTCACCACGACATGACAAAACCAAGGATACGCAACACATGACAGCAACAACTGACGACGATGGGTGAAAGCAACCAGGGAATTGATGAGACAAAGAGGTGCACCTGGACAAGGTTCGAGTGGCTGGAGGGAGTTGATAGGGAGACACAAGGAACAGGGATGACAAAAACAGTTGGGACCAAAAACCGAATAGACATGACATGAAAGAAGGGGCACAGGAAAAACCTGACGAAACATGGGGAAAAAAAAAAGTGAACAAAACACATCTTAGCTATGCTTGTGTTTTATTATGTGCCACACTAAAATGAATTTCACAATGGTGTCTTTGAAGGTGCAGTAACATGTCGGCATGACTGGGGAAAGTTTTTTTTTTTTTTTTTTTTTTAAGCACTGAAGGCAAATCGTATGGGACTTGTCGACTGGCGATTTCAATCTTTTTGCATCTCGTAGCCCAAATGCTCCATACTTCTGAGCTCAATGATCATGGTGGGTCCGCAATTTCAGTGTTACTTATAATAATAGCAGGTCGAGATCGTGTAGTGGTTCGTACCCTGCGTTGTGGCCGCAGCAATCCTGGTTCGAATCCTGGTCATGTGCAAAGAGCATACTTAGCTTATTCATTAGCGGCCCGCTGGTTGAGTGGTTAGCACGTCGACCTCACTGTGCGGAGGTACCGGGTTCAATTCCAGCTCCGGCCTTCCTGTGTGGAGTTTGCATGTTCTCATTGTGCATTCGTGGGTTTCCTCCCACATTCCAAAAACATGCATGGCAGGCTGATTGAACACTCAAAATTGTCCTTCGGTGTGAGTGTAAGCGCGGATGGGTGTTCATCTCTGTGTGCCCTGCGATTGGCTGGCAACCGGTTCAGGGTGTCCCCCGCCTACTGCCCGAAGACGGCTGGGATAGGCTCCAGCATGCCCCGCAGCCCTTGTGAGAATAAAGCGGATCTGAAAATGGATGGATGGATAGATTCGAATAATAGGCCATATTTTCTCCTCTCATGTCGTTGAACAGCATTAGCAGTCGCCACAGTTTTGATCACTCCTGCCAGAGGACCGTCACTGGAAATAGTCACATGACACACAGTTGAAGGATATTGAAGAAAATGATCTTTCATTAAATTAACTTAAGATACTCAAAATCATAATAAATACCATTTTGTAGCAGTGTGAGTGTATATGGTTGTAAACGGATCACGGGGAGAACATGTAAACTCTACACAGGAAGGTCGGGGCCCGGAGTCGAACCCATGATCTCTTTACTGTGAGGCTGAAGTTCTAACCAGTCGACCTCCGTGCCGCCTTGTTAAATGTAATGAATTTTAATTTGTTTTTAAAGTGGGTTTGATAGTTTTGTTTTTCTTTTTTCAAAAATGCTTTGTTTTTGTCTAGTTTTTCTCAGTTGTAGTATTATTTTATTCTTATTTTAATGCGTGGCGTGTGTGTCAAGTGCAAGATTGAGTATCGCGTAATAAAGTTAACGTCTGTTTGACCTTCCTTCTTCTGCACGGACGTGCCACATTTTCCCCGTGTTATTTCATTAGTTACCTTGGTTCCCTCTTGACTGTTGTTTTTCTGACTCCACTCAGATTTATTTGGACTTGCCGTCGATATAAAGTCACATCTATAACCACACAAACAGAGGCGCACACATGAACGTCTTGCATCCAGATCACACAGATTTGATTAGAGACCTCCTTAATTCATTTACAAAATGTGATTTGGCCAGCTGTCATTAGAGCAGCATGTAAACTGATCCAAAGTGGTTTGATTTGGTTTTAGCTTGTTAAATGCAGATTCATGCTCCATGAGTTGGCAGGGTTTTTTTTTCTTTTTAAGTGGATGCTGTCCCCCACAGCCATGAACCGTAGATGTCATTGGAATTCATACCTATCCTGAGTGTAAACAGCCAGTCCAATCACATTTTTCGTGAAAACGGTCCTATGTAAACCTCCCCTTACTCCAGTGTCCTTAAATCATTTTAGCTCATCTCAGTATTAGACTGATGTGACTGAACCTAACCCCCGAACAAATCACCCCCTTCCCTTCTGTCAAGGGCCAGCGGGATATGAGGCCTCAAAGGGACAGTTGTTGCAAGGTCCAGAGGTGATTGTGAGGTCAGGCATCAGCGGGGATGGGATAGGACACACAAGCCTGGGAACGGACATATGTAAACACGTAAAGAACGTAGTCGCGGTCACTCGTGTGTATTTCATGTTTAGCCGATTTGTCGCTTTTCAGTCCTGACATCACACACACAGACTACACACGGTATGTACTAGACTGTAAACTGCAGACTGTCTGAGATCTTTTCCAGCCATTATTCCTCTTTTGTGTTCTTAGTGAGAAACACATCTCTCCTGGGGGATTGGATTGCTTGTTTTAGGAGTGCAGCACAGCTCATCCGCTTTGAACGCGTTGCCAACTTCGTCTGTCGGCAAGGGAGAGCGGTGGAACAGTGTGTTGTACTTTCTTGAGCCAGCAGAGGGTGCGTAGCACAGGCGAGTGCAGCCATCGGGCCCCATTTCTCCCCTGTTCATCTATATAAGAATAACAGCTGAAGTCAACCATAGTACAATGTTAATCGCTACTTTGAGAAATTAATTAGCTAAGAAAGTTATTCACCAATCAAAATGTCAGCGCATAAACGTAGGCTAGTGGTGTGCGTGTGTGGTGGGGCGGCAGGCTGATTTGTTTGGTGTTATCAGTCTGAGTTAGGCTCTGCAGGCTCAAGGATCACTTCCTCGGTATGTGCATGCATATGTGTGTGGAATCCCATTGGTGTGTGCGTGTGCGTGTTTACCGTTGGGTACAGACAGTTTGATTGAGCTCGGCGCTGTGAAGCTGTCTGTTTGCCAGACGGTTTGTCTCTGAGCCAAGACTGCAGCCGAGAAGAATACAATGATTATCCGTCACATGGCGGGAGCATTCTTCATCTGGTCAGCCAAGCCTGCCCTGTCCGCACCTTGGCCCGCAGACTTTTTCTACTCCACGCGCATTGAAATATTTGATTGTTCTTTCTTTCTACACAGTAAAGCGACATTTAGTTTGGGCTTGCCTTTGTTTGACTTTGAACGACTTCGGAAGAGCGTCCACCTCACTCTGTGTGTTCGTGCTGTGTGTGGTGTGTGGGCCGAGTATTAGCGTTCAGCAGTGTGTGAGGAATGTCAACAACCTTTAACCTCTGGGCTCATTAATGTGTGGGGTGTGGGGTGATGATGTGGCGCTGGGATAATTGGGGTGTGTGTGTGTGTGTGTGTGTGTGTGTGTGTGTGTGTGTGTGTCAGGGCAGACTTGATTTATCACACGTTTGTCGGCAAAAAGGAGGAGGACGGGTCTCGCTAACGCCTGAGGTCAAAAGGCCAGGCCAAGGGTCTTGAAGGGTTGAGCGTGCTGAGTAGATATCAAAGAGCATCCTGGGACCGAAATGTGGCCGACCAAGGCCAGATAGGCTACCAGGGTTGCCTGACCAGACAAAAGCGCATAAACATGCTCAGTGTGGCATACGTCACTTGCTGGCTGACGGAGGTGGAGTGCATAGAGGCTAAGGTCACTGTGTCTGTTCCGAGATCAAAGGTCACGGTATGGCGCCGTTAGATCAGACTTTGGATTCCACCCGCGCGCCAACAACGTGGGTCACTACCTCTTGACAGCGTGATGACAAATATGGTTCAAAATATGCGTCAAATCCAAGCGTCCTGGTGCACCCAAACACACATGCACGCAAGCAGACCAAGCGCCACAAAGGCAGCTAATTTCACGCCGGCTCTGCTGGGGCCCGCTTTGGGCCCGGCTGTGAGGCACAGACACGGAGACAGATGGTGCAGGCCTGGCAGGAGGAGTTTCTGCTGTACTCGTGCGCCCGTGATTGTCGATGTGCTCGTGAAGCTTCTCTGCCATGCACACATTTTCAAACAGGGTTTTTCGACCCCCCCAACCCCAAACCCCCACCCCTCACATTCACCGTTGGAGCACTCACTGGCCACGTCATTTCCCGACCGCTTCCTGCTGCCAAGTGAGGTGTCAGGAAACGTTACCCCCGTAGCGACCCGTGCGTCTTCAAAGATGCTTTTCAAGCCAGTATTGCAGTGTTTTGTAAATCGTTTCCCTTCTAAGAGGCCGCTGAGTGGAGGCTGTGCATTTTAAATGGAACACTTGTTTGAAGATGAATAGCTGGCAGCGAATGAAACACGGTCTTGTATCCTTCCTAGAAGTATTGTTTTCATAGAGTGTGTGTGTGTGTGTGTGTGTGTGTGTGTGTGCGTGCGCGTGCATACTGCTGCAGTAATTGGAATGGTTGCAGTGATAGCTTTTGCATCTCTAAATCTTGTTAGTGTGATTGGCTTGGCCGAAGATGAGCCTGAGGGTGACGGAAAGGGAAAAGAAGGAAAGACAGAAGAGGTGGGGCCACAACCAATTTGGGAGAAAAGAGACACGGAATGAACAAGTAGCAGCAGAACACAGGTGGCGCTAGCAAGCCATTTTAACAGGCAGCAGGGGCGAGATGAGCGGGCCTGGCAGCAAGGCGGGGAGGCCGACTGACTAACCGTCGCTTTGGGCCGACAGACAAGCAGACAGCCGGATGGACGGACGGGCTGACAGCCAGAGCTCCAACCAGGCAGACGGGGAGCCGGTGTCATCCCATAGCGAGCGAACAGGCGGAGCGAGTGTGGTTCATATTCCCCGGGACAGGTGGCGGGACATGCCACTGCTGCCACCTGGCACTCTGCACCTGCCCTTGTGTTCCTCCCTCACGCCGCCTTCCACTTCATCTGGGCCATGATATCGCTATGGGCTCTTGACCTCATCCTCAACCGCAAATCCCTCCTGTGGCGCTACAGCGGTGACTCTGCGCTCTCGAAAAGTCTCTACTCCGTTCCACCAGAAAGAAGCATATTAAGTTACGTTTCCATGTAGCGGTACGGTTAGGCGATACTTTAGAGTGGCAGATCTGGGATGCGTTTCTCATGCATCGATCAATGACAGAATTACACTTCAAAAACAAAACAAGAAGAGGAACGTGACAAAATGGGATCACTGTGGCAGTGATGTTTAAAGCCAAAAAAGATGAGAACTGTGTCAATGTCCCACGGACATGACTGTATATACCCTACGAGTGGCGAGTGACCTGTCCAGAGTTAGTGTACCCCACCACTGACTACCAAAGTGGATGGATGGATAAGATTAGAAACCAAACAAATATTTGAGACCGAACTAAACTGTTCTGCATGGGACAAATTGGGCTCCAGAATACAATTACCGGTAAATATAATACAATACAGTCATTGTCTTTGCAATGCACTTGAATGTGCTATACAATTAATGTGTTGCTACTGATTGCAATCATCTTACTCAAGCATAGAGCTCCATGCAGGTTGGCCCTCTGTCCCAATCAGTCCTGGCCAAGGGTGTGTGTGTGTGTGTGTGTGTGTGTGTGTGTGTGTGTGTGTGTGTGTGTGTGTGTGTGTGCGTGCGTGCGTGTGTGTGTGCGTGTGTAATTCTTTCTCCCCCAGGTAGCAGAGGCCACCTGCTCCCATTCACCCCTCCAGAGCCCCGTGTGACCACGGTGCCGCCAGCAGCAAGCTGCCTAATTAAACTCAGCGTGCACGGCTCGTCGCCTCTTCCTCCCACTTGCAGAGAGAGATTGGCACAGTAGCTCACATCTAATGTGTGAATCTGTATTTAAATTAATAACACAAATAGACACAAAGAATGTAATCCACCCACTCGCTCTGTACAACGAGAAGACAAAGTGGGAAATGCAAACATTTTGTAGCGTGGAAACAATTGTGCGTCTCGTAAACACACAAATAGCACACTCGGGCTTCCCGCTGCCAACAGAATGTCCCGTTTTACAGTAGGTGGCTTCCATTTGGCACGCTACTTTTCTTTTTCATCCCAATGCATCCTTTTTAGTGGTCTCCTGATGGACTAGGGAGGATGTCAGTGGTGTCCTATTCCATTCCACCAAAAACATCAAGTCAGACCTTTAGTTTTATTAGAATCTTCAAGGATTTCCAATTTAAATAGCTTGTAAAATGTGAAGGTATTGAAAACTACTTTGTTTTTTATTATGTACTAGTCTTGGACTTTTGTTTGTTGTTCTTTTTTTTTTTGTTTCATGTCACTTCCAGTTGAATTTAGCTACAAAGACGCTTCATTTGTTACGTGCGGCAGTGATGTGAGCTCATCTTTGGTACAGGTCTTCATGAAATGAGGAGTGTTGTTTCATGTCCCCAAAATATTTCTACCTCCTCCCACTTCTCTCCTCTTCCAATCTGAGGTTAGGCATTGCATAATACGGGACCATATTTACTTCCGTAAGCACTGTGCCATGTGACACCGTTTTTTTGTTTTTGTTTTTGTGTGTGTCATTCGATGTGCTTTCTGCGCATGCATGTCACATCACCAAAGCATTTTCTTCATAATAGAAGTCACATTTGTTGATGTAATGTGAGAGAATACATTAAAGAATATGGGATTTAACGAAAATTCCAAATTGGGCATCATGCTGCTGCAGTGTGAACCAAGCCTAAGATGACCAACTCTCTTTTGGTTTGTCTATTTGACTGTATTATATTGCCCCCAGTGGCCAAGGCGGGTACACCAGAAGTAGCAGCATAATAGATTTAATTAAATCATGATGTGCAAACTGTTTCATTCTTTTCCATTCTGTTTAAGTATTTATTGCTCCATCTTTTTTTAGTATTATATATAGAGATCTCTTTTTCTGCCTCCAAAAAAAATAATTGCAATTGTTTTTGTTTTTGTGCGTGTGCGTGTGCGTGTGTGTGTGTGTGTGTGTGTGTGTGTGTGTGTGTGTGTGTGTGTGTGTGTGTGTGTGTTTGTGTGAGGCCGGAACAGATCAATTGCCTTTACATTGATTTCAATGGGTAAAGATGATTTGAGCTCATCTCAAGGTAAAAGGTCATTTCAAGTTGCTACTTGAAATGTCATCAGTCAAAATTGTTTTTCAGGGATAATATGGAAAAGCGGGGCTTACATGAGTTGAAGAAGTTAACTGTGACTAAAACATTTAGCAAGACGGAGGGTGAATATTTTTAAGGGCTATATTCGGTATATCAGTGCATGAAGAAGAGAGACACAGGAAGAGGAAACGTAAGAGACATCGGCAGCAAGGAACTTCTAGAGGTGTGACTGTCCCCTAAACAGATTTAAGGGGCGGCTCTTCCAAACCCCCACAGCTTCCAAAATGCCACAGGGACTTGTCCCATAATCCCTTGTTCCAGGTAAACAGCTTTCTTCCTCCAAAAGCCTGGCCCACTCCTCACACACACACCATCAAAAGCACTCCTTTGCATATGACTTCAAAACCTCCTCCTTGCTTCAAGCTCAAGGCTCCTTGTGGCTAATGTAGCTCACCGATGCACAAACACTGCTCTGTAATTGTTGAGAATCAGCCAGATGTCTGCTAAATTGCGGCTGATGAGCTGCTTCCACAAACATTTGAGTGATTGTGTTTATCTAATTGCTTATTGCCTATAAAGTCTGTTAGCTCTCCATCGCAAGCTCTGGCCAGTATAATGTAGAATAATGTATACAATTTAATCGATTATACGAATTTGAATAGATTATAGCTCGAACTGAAGCATGGTTTAAAGTACATTGGGTTGATCTAATCGAACAGTAAAGTTTTAGTGTTTGGAACTTTTCTAAGGTCGCCTGAAAAACTATTTTGTGATTAAAAAAAAAACAAAAACTATAACATTTGTTCTATTATGTCATTTTGAATAAATTCAAAGTATTAAAGAAGATCATGAGATCGAACAGCCAGATATTTCTGTTCTGATTTTTATTTGGATCACTTAGTAATTTTTTTTGTTGGAACTATACTAAAGACGTCAGCATGGAACAAAAATGGTCTTTTTCCTCAATTTTGTTGACCTTATGACCGCTTTTCACCTCATAGCAATTGTTCTCATTGTTTTGGTCTCATAAACAATTAATGAATTTGTAGTTATTAAAATGTATGCCATTAAAATCACTTAACCCTCTCTAATCCTGACTGCTTTGACCGTGCGCACGTCACAGAGAGAAGGTGGAAGGGAAAGTCCTGAGACGACCCGATGGGCTATATTTCGGCTGCTGGAAATTTTAAACTGATGTGTTTTTTTATGGGCCAAGCAAGTTATGTGGAGGCAAAAGAAACACACCAGATGAAGTAGCATCTACTTTCCAGATTAAAGTCGTAGTTTTGATGGACTTTTGAGTTTGGGAGTAGAGAGAATGTTGTGATTTTTCATGGTGTTGAAGCTTCATTTTATATAGTTATATAGTAGATTTCTCATCATTCAAATTTGGCAAAATTAGAATACTCTTCTCTGTGGAGTGTGAAATTTCCGACACATTTATTTTCACTTCACATCTAAAATGCTGAATATAACGTTTTAATATGTTTATGGATTTCTCTGTGGCAGGACGCCATTGTGCGCGCCTATGTGGCATTGGGCACATCCCACATCTTCCAAGTTCATTAACACGCGACCCTGGCTACAATGGCCTTCCATGTTTTGTGCCGTTTAGTACAGCTGCATGATGTGCAAAGCTGTGCTCTCTCCTCCTCCTGTGTTGTTGTTTGACAAAGCCTTCCTGTAACACGGCAGAGAAACT